ATTAAGAACAATGGAGATCAGAGCATTAGAATGCCATTTGTAGGGCTGAATGAAAACTCTACTAACAATCCTGTATCCAGCAGTAATCTTTTAATAAATATGCCAAAAAAAAGATAATGGACAAACAGAAACCATTGCTTATTAATTAAACAATACAAGTGATCACAAGGATGTGGAGAAACTGAATCATTTATACATTTTTGATGGTGTTATAAAATGGTGCAGTTATTCTGGAGAATAGTTTGTCAGTTCCTTATACTAAACGTAAATTTACCAAACTAAGTATACAAAATTAATGCAAGTTAAACTTGAGAAATTGGAATAAAGTTGGCTGAATGAATCAATGTCAGTTCTTGGATAACAGTGAATGGTAGTTGTACAAAATGTTATTGGTGGATGAAATTAGGTAAGGGGTACATAGAAATAATAAGGGGTTATTATTTCTTCCTGCATGCCATCTAAAATTATCTCCAAATGAAAAGTTTTATACATTACTTGTGAAACTAGGAAGCATTCAGTTTCTTATTTTTTGAAAGTTTTTTGCTATAGGGCACATGTGCTCACCAGAAAGACAAGACAGAGAGACAGAAAGCAAGATATCACCCCCGGGGGGATAGCCAAACTGCAGTCCCTTCTCCTCCATTCTCCCCTTGGGTTCTTGGACATGCATGCACACACGCCCAGCCTGAGTTTAAGCCATCAGGTCAGATACTTGAACTGCGTTCGGCCATATGGGAGTTCAGTGACGTAGCCGTTTTGCCAACTTCTGGTCCCTGTGTTAAATGGTTTTACCCAACTGTAGGGTAACGTAAAGGCTATGCTAAGCTATGCTGTTTAGTAGGTTAGGTATATTACATGAATTTTTATTTTACAGTATTTCTGATTTATGATGACTTTCTCAGGGCATAACCCCATTGTAAATCAAGGAATATCTGTCCTGTACATTTCACCTATCTGACATATATGTGTGCATATACACACACACACATACATATATATGTATATATTCACAAAATTGTATGTTTTTCAGAATACTTTTGTCACTCCCCCAAAACACACCAGATATCCATTAACAGCTACTTTCTGTGTCACCCCTGTAATCCCTGGCAGCCACTAATCTCTTTCCGCATGTACGGATTTGCCTAATGTGAATATTTCTTACGAATGGAATCATAGGTGACCTTTTCCTGTTTTGTTTCTGTCACTTACCCTAGCATTTTCAAGGTTTATCCATGTTGTAGGATGTATCATATTTCACTCATTTTCATGGCTGTGTAACTTTGTTTTTGAATATGCCACGTTTTATTCATTTGGAGATCCCCCCACACACACACACACTTTTTGGCTGTGCTGAATGATGCTTCTCTGATAGCTCATGCACAGGTTTTCATGTGGGCATATATTTTCAGTTATCTTGGATATATTCCTAGAAGTAGAATGCTGGGTTATATGGCATCTCTGAGTTTAACCTGGGGAACTGCTAGATTGTTTTCTATAGCAGTGTAATACTTTACATTCTCATGATCAATGCATGAATTTCCTGGTGTCTCCAGATTTTTGCCAAAACTTATTAACATTTGTCTCTTTTATTATACCAATCCAGTAGTTTTTTTTTTTTTTTAGAGGTTTTAGAGGTTTTTGGAGGGCGACGGGGCCATGCAGACAACACAAGCTGGTAAAGAGGCGGCCTCCCATACCTAAGGCAAGGCCTGGACTGGGAAGAAACTGTGAGGCAAGGCTGACGGTTTACGAGCCCTCCCTTGTGTCGCTGTACTGGCCTGCACTCAATTTCTCTGCCATTAGCTTTACTGTTATTACGGTACCCTGCAAGGGTAAAATATCAGCCCCAACCTTATTGCAACTTTACAATAAAGCCAATTAGTGATCTTGTGGGAATGTGGTTTCCTAAGATGGCATAGAAGGGCCAGGAAGTTTGAGACTCCCCCACCTGCCTGTTTTAAGCCAAAACTAGCATATGTTAGGTTAAATTGGTATAAGCCAAATTAGCATTAGTAGCATATGTAGACTAAGTTAGGTTAAGGCTAGTTTTATGTAAATACCCCTTGTTAAAGCTGCAGTCCAAAGTTAACTCAAGCTAGGCCAAGTTAGCACATTCACCACACGACAGGGACTCAGAGATAAAACAAAAGAACTCACCAGTTGACAGACTTAGCAAATAAAATACAGGAACCCGCGGGTTTATAAAGAAAGGAAAAGCCTGACTGGCAACAATAGGATGAACAAACCTGAAGGTTCCAGTGAAAGATGAACTATCTTAGCTGGAAGTTCTTTTCTGATTCGGGCAAGCAACAGATAGTCCCTAATTATAAAGAGTTTCTCATCTCTGTGCTGTTAACTGTGAAAAACTGCTAATAAAACATCCTGTGTTGTCTCCTGAGCTACAAGATCATCTTCCTTTCCCATGAGGGTAATAGGCTCACCCTGTTTAGCTGTAATATATAGATCGTCCATATATTAATTGTGTCTTTTCTTAACAAGACAAGATTTCTATCTAGGCCTTTGTAACCTGCAATGTTGCCACCCTGACCTGGGACTAAAGTTATCAAGCTGGCCTAGGACTGAAGTTATCAGCTTCCTGCATGCCCCCTCTTCAAAAGACCCTTCCCGGTAATCAAGATCTAAGAAGAAATACAACAGACAAATGGACTTCCTCATCCTGAGAACTTTTACATGATCTTACAAGACAAATAGGATGTTGTATAATTATTGTTTCCATGCTTTGTATTCCCTATTTTTTAAAGTAAAATTTTTACTTTCCCTCACCCCCCTTACTTCCTAAACATCCCTCAATAAATACGTATGTTTTAATAGCCACTGAGCTGCAGTCTGGAGCTGGCTCTGGCTGTGGCTGACTGAGAACATGCTAAGGAGTACTGAGGTCTTGATCTAATTTTTGTTTCTGATCACCCGGGTCACCTTCCTGTATATGAGTCTCAACCACCCCAGCTGGAGCAGGCCCCCGGCAGTAGGGTGCATGCACTCTCCAGACAGACAGAGACAGAGAGACAGAAAGCGAGAAATCACCCCCTGGGGGGATGGCCATGCCACAATCCCTTCTCCTCCATTCTCCTCTTGGGATCTTGGGCACACACGCACATGTGCCCAGCGTGAGTTTAAGCCACCGGGTCTGGGACTTGAACCGCGGTTGACTATGTGGGAGTCCAGTGACATAGCCATTACGCTAACTGCTGGTCTCACCCATCCAGTAGTTTTAAGATGATATCTCATTGTGTTTTTTATTTGCATTTCCTTGGTGGCTAATAATATTGAGCATCTTTATGAAGTCATGTGTCACTTAATTATTGGGATTCATTCCTAGAAATTCATTATTAAGTGATTTTATGCTTGTGCAAAACATCATCGAGTATACTTACATAAATCTAGATGTGTATCATGTTGTACACTTTGGCTAAATGGTAGTCTACATGCTCCTTACAGGAACCACTGTTGTTTTTGCAGTGCTGACTGACACTTCATTATGTGGTGCTTGACTATGCTCACTATTTATTTACATACTTTCTTTGCCCATTCAGATTTCACAGGACCAGCAGATGGCATAATGTTTATGTTACTGAACTCCCATGCAGTCGACCGTGGTTTGACTTCCAGACCCAGCAGCTTGAAACTCACGCTGGGTGTGTATGTGTACATGTACCTAACATTCCAAGAGAAGGCTGGAGGAGAAAGGATTGCGGCGTGGCCATACCACCCAGGGTGGTGGTGGTAGTTTGTCTCTTTCTGTCTCTCTGGTGAGTACATATGCCCCTATAGCAAAAATCTCTCTATTAAAAAAAAGACTTTATCTTATGACTTACAGAATAATGGGGAAGATAGAGTAAAAATTACTGTATGCCTGTACCCAATGTGCCCTATTAATGGTTTATTAATATAATACACATTTGTAACAATTATTAAACCAACACTGATATGTTATTATTGGCTAAAATTCATAGTTTTATTTAGATTTCATTGATTTTTAGAAAATTATTTATTCATTCATTTTTATTTGACCAGAGAGAGAGAGAGAAAGTGAGATAGCAAGCCAGCAGTTCTGGGACTCACACCATGGTCGCCCATGTGGGAGTGTCCATGCCTTAACCTCCACACCACCTGCTGATCCCTAGATTTCATTACTTTTTACCTAATGTCCTTTTTTGTTCCTGGATCCCTTCCAAGGTCTCGTATTACATTTAGTTGTCATGTCTCTTTAGGCTCCTGGGCTGTGGTGCTTTCCCAGACTTCCCTTGTTTTGGATGACCTTGACAGTTTGGAGGAGTCCTGGTGAGCTATATATAAATTCCATTTATTGGAATTTGATTTTTTTTTCCCTCAAGATAAGACTGGGACTATGAGTTTTTGGGAGGAAGGCCATGGTCCTCCTCCAAAGTTTGCATTTACTGACATATATGGCCACACTCTCTGATACCATGAAAACAGCCTTCTTTTGTTACACCTACTCAGTTCCCATGGAGACCTGCTTTGGCCCAGAGAGATGTGGAAGAGAAGTAAACTGAAAAAACAAATAGAGAGAGATAAAGGGGTCTTTTCTCTAGAGAGAGATAAAGGCCTTCAGCATCCTGAAATCCCACACTACTGCAGCCAGTACTGTGCACAGACTGCTTTCCCAGAGGTCTTCCTTTCCCAAAGGTCTAGAACACTCAGCCAACTGCCACTGATGTGAATGGAATGCATCCCAGCTCCAGGAGGACCAGACTATGGTGGCCCTTCTAGTGCACAAGCACCCCGCCCCTGCCTCCGAGCACACGCCCCGCCCCGTGCCTCTGTGTGCAAGCCCCGCCCCTCCCTCTGAGCACCCGCCCTGGCCCCTGCCTTTGATCACACACCCTGCTCCCTGCCTCTGAGCACAAGCCCCGCCCCCTGCCTCTGAGCACACGCCCCGCCCCCTGCCTCTGGGCGCGAGCCCCGCCCCCTGCCTTTGTGAGCAAAGAAGCCCCGCCCTCAGAGGAATGCCTGAGGTCTGCTTTGTTGTGGTCCTCAGTGTTGGTTTCTGGTGGCAACACCGGCTTAACTGTTTTTACTGGTCGTGTTGGGTTTTGGAGCTGGCCGCTACTTCAAAATGAGAAGAATTTTTTTCTTCAGGAAAAAGCGGAACCAGACGATTGATATCAATGTTGCTGACAGGTGCGAGGACCGAAAGCCTAAGGAGAACATCAACCCGCTTTCCAAGTACCATGTCCGCCATAGAGATCTTGGGAAGATCCATAAGGCCACACTCACAGGAAATGTGGCCGAAGTGCAGCGTATTCTGCTTCTAAATAAAAATGGTCTGAATGAGCCAGACAAATGTGAAAGGTAATAGGGCCCAAGGGCGGGCCTGAGGGCTACTTGGGAGGTGCGCACCTGTCAGCTCGGCTGGCACCCCGGGTGCTCCTCAGCTTCACCTGGCTCCAAGCCTTAGGGGCCCCGTGCCTGGGTCCCCTTGGTGAGCAGCAGAACAAAACCAAACTTCAGCTGGTTTCAAATCTGCTCATAACTACTCCTACTGAACACTTTCTTCACAATTATAGTGACGTAACTAGCAAACTGAAATAATACACTGTTCTTTTTGTTTAGTTTTAGTTTTTGCTATGAGATGCATGTGGTCCAGGAGAGAGAGACATAGAGTGTGAGAGAGAGAGGGAGAAAGTGAGGAATCATTCCCTGGGGGGTGGCCACGCACAGTCCTCTTTCCGTTCTCCTCTGGGGATCTTGAACACAGTGGGCACACGGGCACGTGCCTGAGGTGTTCTTCCAGCTACTGGGTGGAGAAGCAAACTGCCGGGTCGACCGTGTAGGATTCAGCTGCCTTAGTCGCTGCCGTTGGCTGGCCAGTACACGTTTTATTTTTAATGTACTCATTTTAAAAACAATAATGTTACAAAAATTATGGAAAAGTGAGTCATGAGAAAAATTCTCACCATAGTTATGATGTTGGTTCTGGGCTAAAATTTTTTTTAAATTAAATCCAATATCCATTTTTTGTCCCTATGTGTGTGTGTTCCTTGCCAAGGGTCCTTAGATACTTTCAAGTGGGAAGATGATTCTTTGTTCTCGAATAGAAAGACTCACTTTTGTCTAAATGTGAGACTATTTCTGTGTTTCTCAACTTTGCATTCACCAAATAAAAATATCAAGCTCTTTGATGTTTGAGCTACCGCCATTGTGATGACATTAACAAATTTTTCTAATGTAGTAAATAAAGACTCGCCTTTCTACATGTCAAAATGTGCTGTTAATTCCCTCAATAGAGCATTGACTAACAGGTGAAAAGACAGGTAAATTAACGGAACATGATAGGAAACCATAAACACCCAAATATATGTAATAATTTCGTATCTCATACTGGTAACACTGCATATTCGTTACAAAAAATTGAATGATTGGTATATGAAGTGCCAGTTCAGTATTTGGAGAAAACTTGCTATAGAGTTTTAGGTTTTGAAAATAAGCTAGTGGTGGAGTATAGATTTAAAAAAAATTAATATATGATAATAAAAGAGTGAGATGAAAACAAAAATGCCAATTTATATATTTTCATGTTGACAAAGATTTTCCTAAGAGTGATCTCAAAGTGAGCACTCTGAAGGTTAATTTTAGCAAAATACAAATTGAAAAGACATACATTGTCATTTAAGCATCATAATGGTGTCCTGTGAGAAACTATTGTAGTTATCTCTCTTACTGCTGAGAATATAGAGGCACTGAAATATTTTTTTAAAAAAACCTTGTGCATGAGAAAACAAATAATAAAAATAAAAGACAACGTATTTGCAAAATATTAACCATACGTATGTCTCAGGTGAAAAATTGTATCTCTGCTTTATAGAGAATTCTTTCAAACAAAAATGTCCAATTTGGATTTGGGCAAAGTTCTTTTTTGCAGATCTACAAGAGACCTATGGATTATAAGAAAAATAGTGGCTCTGGTAAGGAAAGGAATTAAGGTTAAAGAGGAATGAAATACTTTTTTCATCCACAAACTTTGAGGGTATAGAGCAAAGGCCTAAAGTTTAAGCTGCTTATGACCTTTCAATAGAAATGTATTAAGACCCCATTTAATGCATTATGAATAAATTGCAGTGCATCCATAGGATGGAATCATATGTGCCCATTGAAGGTGGTATTGATAGTGATGTATGTTGGCATGAAAAATGTACTTTCAGTAGCTCAAATGAGAGAATAATCCATTTGGAGTCACTTAGTGGTTGAGGGAGCCAATCCCACATGGCTAAGTGAGCCGTTAGAATCTTCACCACTGTGGTTGGAAAAACATACCAGGTGTGTGAGTGTGTGTGTGTGTGTGTGTGTGTGTGTGTGTGTAGAAATCTCTAAGATGGAGAAAGAGAAGAAAAGGGATCGTGAAATCACTGTGTGTGTGTGTATGTGTGTTGGGGGGCATTTATTCATCCTATGTTTTTAGTGGAGCCCTCTTCCCTCTTACTACTTTAAAGAACTTAATTTATTTAAGTGCCAGTAATAATCCTAGAACTGCCATACAGCTGTTGTATATATTATTTGTAATAATTTAAGGCACCATAGATTGTGAGATGCCCGATTACTTTGTGTATCAACTTTTGCAATGCTGCCAATTATCGTCATAATGTTTCTTGGTCTCTTAGTGGCATTTCGATGTCAGAGATGTTAAACTGTGAGACAGTGAGCATCTTAGAATCATCCAAATATGTAGGATTATCGCTATGAAAACATGTCTGCAAAGTTGATATAATTGTCTCATGTTACTTAATTAAAATGTCATCTTTGGGCCAGCTGGTGGCAGGGTGGTTAAGGCAGCTGGATCCCATATGGCTAACTACATGGTCTGAGTCCTGGACTCCACAACTTGAGGAACATACTGGGTGCATGTGTGTGCGTGTCCCAAATCCCTGAGGAAGGACACAAGAGAAGGGATTGTGGCGTGATCATACTCTGTGCGAGGCTGCTCCCTCCCATCTTTCTGTTTCTGTTAAACGCACATCCCTCTAGCAATTCTTTTTTAACTGTGGTCTTTGTTAACTAGCAGTAATTGTAATACTTGCAACATCCAATACTTTTGAGCCATTAGGTACTAAATACTTCCCATATATGCTCATTAAGCATTCTATTGATGTCCTTTGACATAACTATGATTTCTTGTCTCTACTGTATTGGTAAGAAAATTGAGGCAAAGAAGGGATAAACGATAGCTAGTAAGTGAGAGCCTGCAATAGGGCTCAGGGCCAGGTAGTGGTGCAGTAGCAACACAAGTGGACTCCCACGGGGAAGGTCCTGGTTTTGAACCCTGAACCCTCCTGAGCATGCTGAGTACATGTGGTTGTGATCTATGTGTACCGAGTCTGGGGTGGCAGGGGTGCTTGAGGCATAAAAACCACATTGGGGGTTTCCATTTTATTGTTGCTGCTGCTGTTAAGGTTTTTGCTGTAGGGTGTGTCCACTCAGCAGAGAGAAACAGTGAGAGGGAAGATGAGAAATCATCCCTCACGCACAGGGGTTGGGCGTACTGCAGGTCCCTCTCCTCCGTTCTCCTGGGATTTGGGCACACATGCTCTCGTACTGGCATGAATTTCAAGCCTCTGTATCCAGGACTTGAACCACGGTCAGTCACGGGGAGTCCAGTGCCTTAACCACCACATCATCTTCTGGCCCCAATGCAGTTTCTATCTCTCTGTCTGTCTCACTCCCTAAGTCCCTGACTTTAATGGAATGAATGAATGAATGGATTGATGGATAGGTAGATAAAATTCCAACCCAGTTAAGCTGAATCCAAAGGGCATACTTTTTCTGTACACATAGGCTATGATTTCATTCATGTTGTGAGCAATTCGAGTTAGTAAATATTGTGTGTTCTTCAGATGAAATTAAATACTTGTCTGAAGGCACAGGAATAACATGCTATTTAATGCTTACAGTTCCATGCATAATGGTATGTTTTGAAACAGAGCACTAAAATTTCCTGAAATGTGTTTGTTCTTCCATAGAACTGCTCTACATTTGGCCTGTGCCAGTGACCATCCAGAAGTGGTGAGACTCTTGGCGGAGAGAAAATGCCAGCTAGATCTTCTGGATGGTGATCAGAAGACGGCTCTAATAAAGGTATGCAGTAGAGAACTGTTTCAGCATGAGATGGCTTTGATTTAAGTACCTAAAAATTAACTCATCTCATTTAACTATAACGCACTGGAGAAACCTGTAGAATGCTTATTTTGAATTCTTAGGACTTACAGTTTATTTCTTGGTGATACTGATAGGCTATCCAGTGCAGGAATGAAGAATGTGCAAGCATTCTCCTGGAGCATGGTGCTGATCCAAATGTGACAGATTACCGTGGCAACGCTGCTCTTCATTATGCTGCTGCTCATGACAATGTATCAATAGCAGAAAAACTACTTTCACACAATGCGCCTATAGAAGCCAAAAATGAGGTATCCATCAAAATGTATTTTCTAAATATGAGATATAATTGTTTAAAAGATGATGTATATTTGGTCAGTTTTCTACATTTGGAAGCTTAAGCATTCCCTGAATGAAAAGGTCTTGAAATAATATAATTGTGTAAGTTTTCACATGAAACATCGATACTTTTTTTTATTATTAGATTTTTGCCTTAGGACTTGTACACTCACCAGAGAAAGGGAAAGACAGACAGACAGAAAGGGAAAATGAGAAACCCCTCCCCAGGGGGAATGATCAAGCCGTAATCCCTGTTCCTCCGTTTTCCTCTAAGATTTAGGAAACACACACACACACACAGGCACCCAGTGTGTTTTGCAAGCCACTACATCCAGACCATGAACCACCGCCTGTCTGGCCCTAAATATTGATTCCTTTATTTATTTGAGATTTTTTTTGCTGTTGGGTGCACGCGCTTGCTGGAGACACAGAAAAAGACAGAAGTAATGAGGATGGACATGCCACAATTTCTTCTCTTACGTTCTTCTCTCAGGATTTTTGGCATGCACTCACACAGACCCAGAGTCACTTTCAAGTCATTGGATCTGGGACTCAAACTGCAGTTGACCACGTGGCTATCTAGCACCTTAACCTCTATGCTACCTACTGGCCCCAGGTTTAATTATTTATTTTTTGAGAGGTTTTTGCTATAGGGAGCATGTGCTCGCCAGAAAGTCAGAGAGAGGCAGAGAGACAGAAAGCAAGAAATCACCCCCCACGGTGGATGGCCACTCTGCAGTCCCTTCTCCATTCTCCTCTCGAGATCTTGGGCACATGGGGCCAGGCATGAGTTCAAACCACTGAATCCAGGATTCAGACTATGGTCGACTACAGGGAGTCCAGCAATGTAGCCATTACGCCATCTGCTGGTCCCTGGCCCCAGGTATTTTTAAAGAAATACTATGGGATACAGATTTTTTAGTTTGTTTTAAAAATATTTTTTTATTTATTACTTAATTTTCTATAGGGCACTCACTTGAGAGAGGCAGAGAGAGAGAGAGAGAGAGAGAGAGGGAAAGTAAGAAAGCAAGTCACCAGGTTCAGGACTTGAACCAAATTATCCATGTGAGAGTCTAGCACCTTAATCACCACATCACCTACTGGCTCAAGGGTATGGCTTTTAAAAATGCATTTATGGCAAATGTTTGTAAAACACCATATTTAGTAAAGGCAAGACATGTTTATTCAGATATTTTTTCTACCCTATTTTTAATATTTTTAGTGTAAAACAATTTTGAAAAAGCAAAATTGGCCTTGAAAGAAGGTGTTCTCTCTCTCTCTTTTTTTATTGGAGAGGTTTTTGCTATAGGGCTCATGTGCTCACCAGAAAGACAGAGAGACAGAGAGACAGAAAGTGAGAAATCACATCCCCCCCAGGGGGGATGGCCACACCGCAATTTTTTCTCCTCCATTCTCCTCTCGGGATCTTGGACACACACGCCCATGCACCCAGTGTGAGTTTAAGCCACTGGTTCCAGGACTTGAACCATAGTTGGTTACATGGGAGTCCAGCGACATAGCCACTACACTGACTGCTGGTGCCAAAAATAGGCCCTTCTTTTAAAACTCAAATAAAGCAAAACCATTTTTCAATAATTGGAAATCATTATGCTATTGGCAAATTTCTCAAAACAAACTATATAAAAGCGATGTAATTCTTAGTGGCAAAGTTAAAGAGGAAAAGAATGGAAAGGTAAATGAGAAACCAGGAATATTCAGGCTAATTTTGAAATTAGAAAGTAGAGAGAAAGGCCATAATGATTTCATTTTCACTTGGTTTATTTATTTGTGTGTGTGCGTGTGTGTGTGTGTGTATGTGTGTGTGTGTGTGTGTGTGTGTGTGTTTCCTAGGTTAAATATTTAGACAAAGAGCTCTTCAATTTTGGGAAGAATAATTCTCAATATGGGAAACCTGTCTGGAGATCAATTTTAGAGGACTTCGAGGAAACCAGATTGGTGGTAAATGGGGTCTGATTAAGTGAGAAAGGAGAGAAGAACAATTAACTGTTAACCTATTTTGGCAGAATCAGCCATTTAAATAGTCTAATAGGTCCCGCCCTACAGAAGGTCTTGGCTGAGGGAGCAATTCAGGGACTGCAGTGTACCATGATAAATGCTGTAATAGGAGCAAAGATTTTTGAAACTGGTGAATATTTGAAGTGAGTTCTAGAGGTGACTGGAGTTCCTGTGGTAAGACAGGAGGGGTGTTTCAAAGAGAACTGAGAGGGAGGGACTGCTTTTTAGTTACTTTTTATATTATAAGTTAAAGAGCTTTTGTTTGTTTGCTTGTTTGTTTTTGCTGTAGGGCATGTGCGCACACCAGAGGGAGGCAGAGAGAGAAGGAAAG